TAACTTCGCACCCTCAGTGGTGTCTCTCCCTATTTGTCTGCAACTTGAGTCCAAAGCTACGGCCCGTCGCTGCTATTATCACGACGGTGATAACGATTGTTCGTAATAGGGATGAAAGCACGATATGATGACGTTGTTAATCACAAGAATACTTCCAGTGCTCGTGGATGGTCCCATCTAGTGCCAAATGTCGTGGGAAACTGCTTCCCTCGAAAGTATGGCAACGATAGGAAGAGCGGATGTGACACGTCTGATGGGTGTAGCGAGGAGGGGATTGGAGTTGTCAAGACTACCATCAGTGAGTCTCAGCAGCAGAGGAATGATCGAAAACGAGCAGAAGACTTCCTCCTCTTCATGGGTGGGCAGTGTTCGTGATGGAGTGGTATGTTATCATAATTATTTTCAGATAAGGCGAAGGCTCCACAGCTTGCTCCGTCTCCTCTGCTTAGCCGATCGGCGGTTTCAACGGTAGCGTATTCGGATGAGAAATACCATCAGGAAAAAAAGAAGTATTTCATACTGCTGCTTGTCAGTTCGCGTTGGTCTCCATGAAGTTCCCTTAGGCCGTGTCCTGGTAGAGGGAGCAAGCCGCCGTTGTGTACGTCCTCACACTTCCAAAAGGGTAGAGGTGTTCCGAGTCTTGATGTTGGTGAAAAGCATCCTGTTGTTGTTGGCCCCGTCACTACTATATGCCGCGATGAGACTGATGAAATTATCGGTAAGAAAACGAGAGAATCGACTTGTAGTTTTTTCCTCTTTTTGTGCAGGTGAAACGTTATGCGTGGTCCCGCCTTTTCTGAAGGGACACTCTGTGGCAATCAAGATTACATTAAATGATTACATTCCGAAAGCTGATACACGAGACAGTCCTCTGAGCTTCTGTGTTGGACTTTCTACAGGTGGAGGTCTCCGGTTCGATCCCCGGTGGCGGCATTTTTCAGTTTTAGGACCTCAACTCGAGCAAGAAAGAGGTATAGTGATAAGCTTCTGCTCCTCTCGTAGTGAGGTTAAACACATGCGCCCGAGAAAGGTGTGTTCTAACACCGCGAACTCTCAGTCCACCGAAGTTGAAGCTGTAGTTATCAGCGAATCTCGAGTGAGTAGGCGAGGGAGTGGTATTCAATTGAAAGCAAGGTATCTGTTCGCTTTCCTCAGCTGAGCTTAGGAGTTTTTTACACACCATAGGGTTTTACATACGAGCTAGGGTAGAAGAGTACAGAAACTAAGAAGAATTCCCCAAACTTTTCTGCAGAATTTTGATATTGTCAACAACACATGTAGTTGAGCATGTGCATATCTTCCCATACTACTTGGCGGTGTCTCAGGTACTTTTCTATAAAGAACGTCATTTCTGGATCCTATGGGGGGAGGGGTTGCTCTTTGCTGTAGAGAGTTGTGTCGGTGAAAGCGTTGGAGGTGAGCTTCATGTTAGGGTCTCGGCGACAATGTTGGATCGCGCCTTTTAATGGCGGCTGATACTGCCAGCCCGGAGTATACATTCGGGTATGGCGCTGGAGCCACGAGTGTGAGAGAGAGATATTCTACCGATGAGGTAAGCGCGCTGTTTGGTCATCGGACGTCCCAGGTTCGATTCAGGTTGAGCGCATTTATGTTGCTAGTCGCGGCCCTGCTGGGTGTGCAGTAGAATGGCAACGAGTTGAAGTGAGCTCATCATGGCTCAACTCCCCTGACAGGTGGATCGCCACTCTACTTGTCGTACGTAGGCGTCGTCATCAGATACTCTCGAGCTCTTGGTAAGACTTGCGGTTGGCGTACCGGAGCGCCAACGCCATCACCTTACGAGAAGCCGCAGCTCGACAGATGCCTCCATCGAGTGAATGAAGTGAACCTACTAGCATGTATAGTCGACTCGAGAGAGTGCGCTCTGGGTGAGGCTGTGCGTTCTCTGCTACGATCTTGCAACACTTGCTATGTCGTTTCTCCTAGCGTAGGCCTAGGTGAACAGCTTTAGACGAGTGTTTATATTATTTTTCGGATATCGTTTTCTCGTGCTTCCATGTGTGGACATTGTAAAGAGATCTATTCTATGCAACACAAGTGGTCGTAACTCTCTGCTACAGGATAAGAACGAATGATCATTAATATCGTCATCCACTGTCAGTATCGCCTAACGAGAATCCCGGCGCATCGCTAGCTGAGCTTGCATGGTGGCTACGATTTGTGTATAGACCCCAGTCGGTCCTCGGCCCTGAGGCTTCTTGCAATGGCGGTGGGTACTTGTAGCAGCATCTCCATCAGGAAGTCTCTCAGGGCTTGGACACGCTATTGAGGTCGAAGGCATTAGATGGTCGGGCCCTATGCAGAGAGGAT